CTCAGCATAATACCCTCCAGTTCCATCCACGTCGAAGCAAATGGTGGGTGTTTGTCGTTTCTAATGGCTGAGGAATATTCCATTGTATACATAGACCACATCTTCTTAATCCATTCATCTTTCAATGGACACCAAGGCTAATTTTTCAGTTTGGATCACTAACAATCTTTCTGTATCTCTTTCTTCTCATCTTTTATTTCTTCTGTGTCTTCAGAAAGGTGTAAATAGAAAACTAGGAGGAAGGATATTGTGATCCAGAATCTACTTCCAGTAAAATTAGTGTGTATTCAAGTTCTCTTAAATTGGGAGAGAGACAGAATCCAAGGCCATAGGCAGGCTGAGGTGTTGCCCCACGTCCTCCTCTGTGTGTGTCCCTGTGACCAGGACCACTGTGCCAGATTGTACAGTAAGAGTCAGCCTTGTCCTCACGCTGCAGCCCAGAGATGAGCAGAGGCCCTGCTTCGGCGGAGGTGTCTTCAGATCCAGATCAGGGCTGGGGACATTGAGCACTCGTGCTTATCTGAGTCTGAGTAGAACCTCAGGTGATACGGGGGGGGGGTGCTCCCTGGCTTCTGTTGGAAGCAGTATATGTAGTAGCCTCCAATAATGAAGCCACTGATCATGGTTCATGTGAGTCTGGCTGTTGTTCCTGGAGATGCAGAGAGAGGATGCACCTGGGCCAGCCCTGGCTGGGACAGGGAAACTGTAGATACACAAACTCCCAGGAGGTGGGGCATTTTTGGTGGGAGTTGCCAGGGGATGATAATATTGGGGAAAATCTCCCAGAAGAGAGATGATGTCCCTCCCTGGGCAGAAAGACAATAAACAGAGGAGGAGAGGAGTCCAGACCATGTTGCCAAATCCCCTGTCCCAAGAATGGAGCTGCACTGTGTTAAGCTTGTCTAATTCTCCCTACAGTCTCCAGGCAAATGACAGTGCTTTTATGCAAATTGTCACCCCTTCCAGACTCTCTCAGACTAAATCTGGTCAGTGATTCAGAAAAACAGGGGACAGAGGATGCTGAAGGCAGGGACTGCTCAGAGTGGACATACGAAGGATGGAGGGAGCATCTGTGGAAACCTCTCAGGACCCCGCCCAGGAGCCTCTGCCAGGCCCTAAGGGAACCAGGCTGCTGGGTCTCACCAGGGGCACAGGGGGCAGCTCAGCCTCTGCCCAGCTCTGAGGCCAGGGGGGCTCCTCAAGGTCGGAGGGTCCCCTGCAGGGCCAAGGGGATGCACAGTGCTCCCTGCTGATTACGTGTCCCTTTCAGGGTCCTCAGTGTCCTGAAGGTAACATCCAGAACTGTGACCCCAGCACTCACCAGTGACCTGAAGGACTGGGTGGAGCACCCTGCATGGTCTGCTGTAAAGAACATGGATACAGAGTTGGTGATTTGAGAGCTTCCCACTTGGAGGGAAGAGTCCTCACAAAATAAGCACTCCTGTGAGAGGGGAAATGTCTACAAAACCTAAATCATGCAAAAGACTGAGCCTATCCTAACTCCTAGATCATTGAGGGAGCTCCTCAGAGGAGGGTCTTTCATATTCATCTCAGGAGAGGAGTGGCGGTGTTCTGCACAGTCATCGAAGAAAATATTAAAACAATGCATAAAGATCTTCAAACCAAGATGGGAGGCAGTGATTTAACAGAAGCATCACCACCTGGTGAACCTGTGGCCCTGGGGGATAGGAGGGGGGACAGAACAGGGCAGGACTGAAGATACCCAGTTGTCAAAGCAGAGCACCTGAAACAGGAGCACAGCAGGAGGGGATGCTGGTGGCTGTGGTCCCAGGAGAAGGCAGGAGAGAAGGGGGAAGAGGACTGTGTGAACTGGGGTCTCTGCTATGACAGACCCCTGAGAGGGTGCTGCTGTCACTGCAGGGGAGCCTCAGGTAGGGAGAGGCTTCTCTCTGCATGAAGGAGTAGAGGATCTGCGGAAGGAGCACAAACACTGAATTCCTAGCTCAGAAATGGGAGACCCTGACCTTGAGCATCAGGATCAGTGCTCACAGCCTGAGGCAGGTGTGCAGCTCTGGTGGGCAGGCCCTGGGGTGTTGTGTCTGGGGGACAGGAGCCTGAGTTGGTACCCTGGACCCCTTCCCTGAGTGCAAGACAGGGGACAGGAGTCCAGGAGGCAGCATCCCTCAGTCCAGGCTGGCTCCAGGGGCCTTCCCTGCAGTGTCCCTGCAGTGTGTGGGATGTTAGTCCTCCCCTCTGCTCCAGGTCCCCAGGGGTGAGCCGGGTGTCAATGACATGACACGTGACCCTCCTCGTGTCCTCCATAAAAATATTGCAGGAGGACTGAGGCTAGTGACCATGTGTTTGGGGCTTACCAGATCTTTACAACCCCGTGGGACGAGGAGTCATGGAGGAGCATGAACTGAATGTCCAAGGTCAGGCTGCAGTGCCCCGGATATGGGCATCATGGAGAAATGGGGTGGAGAACCCCAACCTCTGCCTTGACCTGCACATTCCCAGGATCCCAGCCACAGGGAGGCAGAGCTGGGGGCTCTTTCTCAACCTTTCAGCCCCCAGAGGGAGGAGAATATCATCTTGGTCACTGCTCCACACTCCCAGTTCCTCTCCTGGTGCCTGTAATGGGAAGGGCCTGGGAGGACCCCTCTGAGCTCAGGGGGTCTGGGGCTGACAGCAGGTGGGACCTGGGCCCAGACTCAGGCAGGGGCTACCTTCCCAGCTGCCAGCACCCCATGGACCCCAGGGACAGGCTCCCAGTCTCCTGCTGCCCCAGTCCTGGTCCACACTGGCTGAGATGAGGGAAGAGGATTCCAGAGCAGAGCCCTCTGCCTCCAGTGCTGTGGGTCCCCACCCCTTGTGCATGGAGGACAGACCACACCCAGATCACACCCAGCCTTCCTGAGGCTGCATCTCATGACTCCAAATGGCTCAGAATCCCCTGCTGTGGCTCCTCCCTGAGGACTGTCTCCAACTGTCCCCCCTGCTCCACTGCTTCTCCAGGATCAGAGTGAGGCTCGGGGTCAGGGCCATCCCCAGGGCAGGGAGCACATGGACAAACACATCAGTAATGCTTCCCCCATGGACTCCAAGGTGGGTCCTCAAGGCCTGGTCTCTCTCTGTCTCTCTCTGTCTCTGTCTCTCACCCCAGCTCCTTCTCAGTCAGCTGAGCCTCTGTCCTCACTCCTGGTGGGGAAGCCACAGGCTCGCTCTGTCTCTACGATGACCACTGCCAGTGGCCCCAGGTGTGTGCTATAATTTACAGGTTTATAAATAATCAACCTTTAGTTTTCCAAGTATCCAGTGTTGTAGCTGAAGGACCTAGGGCAATCGTCTCCAGAACCATAAGGGCAGGTCCGATCTCCACACTGGCTATGGAGAGGTTGAGACCCTCACAACACAGGACCTTCTGTTCCTGAAGGGACAATGATGTCTCCCATCATCTCTGACCGTGGACATCACGGTTCAATTCCATGCCCGGCCCCGACACATGACAAGGACTGAGCCCTCAGCCCAGGGGACACAATCTGTCATCCTAAGGGGCCCACGTGCAGTTTGTTTGCTCCCTTTTCAAACTTCCTGTTCACACTCCCTCAGGTCCCCACCTTCCTGTCCTCCCCCTTTGGGGACAAGGGTTCACATCTCCTTGGAGAAGTGGATGGGATGGTATTTCCTTGTGAGCTTCGTCTTGGACCCCAGACCCCTAGAAGACATCCTCTGCCTGCATGAAGGAGCTGTCGCTCTGGGGTACAGTTTACTGAGCTGTGACAACACAGCAGTGTGGTGCGGCCACCATCCCAGTGCCGTGTAGGAGAGTGACATCACCACGAATACAGTCGCCTCACACACTCACCCTCCTCCTTCCTCCACCTGCTGTCAATCACTGTCCTCCTTACCACCTCTAGATTCCCGCCTCTTCCAAAATACAATGAAATCCCCATGATGTGGAATTTAGCCTTTTATATATTATTCATCCTTAAGAAATGTGCAGTTAATATTCATGCATGTTTTTGAACTTAAGAACTTATTTCTTTAAATGTTGACTAATATCACCCTCTATGACTATACATCAGGTTGGAGTAAATCTTCGTTACTTCAAGTCTGGTCATTTTATTTTTATTTGTTTTAAAGATTTATTTATTTAGTTATGATAGACACACACACACACAGAGAGAGAGAGAGAGAGAGAGAGAGAGGAAGCAGAGACACAGGCAGAGGGAGAAGCAGGCTCCATGCTGGGAGCCCGATGTGGGACTCGATCCTGGGACTCCAGGATCGCGCCCTGGGCCAAAGGCAGGCGCCAAACTGATGAGCCAATCAGGGTTCCCCCAAGTCTGGTCATTTTGTAAAAAGCTGGTATTAAAAAAAAGTGTGGAGATTTTTTATTCCTTTGAATTGTATTGATTATGAATAAAGTTTCCATGAACATTCACGTGGGGATTTTCTAGAAAGCTTTTTTTTCCTTTTATATTTCTGAGTGTGGCATTGATTTATGTGTTCCATGCAATCATCAAATAATAAGAAGAAATCATCACCTGGTTGAAGCTAAGGCAATAATGTTCCCAGCTGCAAAAAAGAGCTGACATGTTCATCAGCAGAGCAGGGCTGGGGCTGAAGGGCCATGATAGCTTCGCGACCTGAGAGAATTTCTTTTACTGAGAAATCAGAAGTTGAAAAGTGAATGTTCACTAGCCTAAAAGAACCTGTCCCTGATCCCGAGGACAAAATTTTCTCTTTCCTTTGACACCCTCTGTGTACAATGGGCTACTCTGAGTGACTCTGAGGTCAGAGATGATGAAGCAAGTGCCATTCCCAGGAGGTCCCCAAGATTCACCTGGCCTCAGGGCATCAACTGAAGAATGAGCAGAAACCCAGGGGGAGCCTAAGCAGGCAGCTGCTGGGGCGCTCACTCACTTTGCAGTCAGGTAAGTAGGTTTTTGTCTCACTTCCCCACAGGCCTGGAGCACTGTGCCAGCACTGAGACTGCTGTCATATGTTGAGCAGTAATAATCAGCCTCCTCCTCAGCCTAGAGCCCAGAGATGGTCAGGGTGGCTGAGTTGCCTGACCTGTAGCCAGGGAATGGATCGGGGACCCCCGACGGTCGGTTACTACTACCATAGATGAGGGTTCTGGGGCCTGTTCCCCGGAGCTGTTGGTACCAGTCCACATTATATCTACAGATGTTGGAGCTGCTTCCAGTGCAGGAGATGGTGACCCTCTGTCCCAGGGACCCAGACACTGAGGCCAGCTGAGTCAGCACAGACTGGGCCCAGGAACCTGCAAGAAGGAGAGAAATAGACAGGGTGATGCTGGGGTCTAGACCCCACATGTCCTCCCAGGGCCCCTCTCCCTGTCCTACATCCAGTCACCTGTGCAGTGAGTGAGGAGGGTGAGAAGGAGAGGGGATCAGCCCATGGTGAAGGTCATCACTCTTTCTGTCCTCAGTGGCCTCTAGGCTGAGCAGAGCCTCCCCTCATCTCTCCCTTCCTCTCTTCATCCTCTGAGGATCCACCCTGCATCCACCCTCCCATGCAAATGAGACCCCAGCTCCCTGACCCCTTACTGGCCCTTGGTCAGGTCCCTCTGCCTGAGGATGTCAGGGGGGTGGGCAGAGCAGAGACTGCTTGGGGCTGGTGTGTGGTACAGGAGGTCCCAGCTATGTGCCTTGAGCAGAGGCCACAGTCAGTGCCAGGTGATGTTCCCAGCTCTGATCAAGGCTGACCCCTAAAAATAAGCCTCAACTGCCTTCTGGCATCCTGACACCACCTCACCCCGCATGACATGGCTATCAGTTGGCCATAGGACTCAGGTCCTGTCTCCGGAGCTCTATACACTCTCCTCCTATGATCTGCATAAGTCTCCCCATATGTGGTCTCCCATGACTGTGGCATGCATTTTAGGCTACACTCTAATGTCTCGGTGTGAGGGACTCCTGGGTTGCTCAGTGCCTAAGCATCTGTCTTTGGCTCAGGGCATGATCCTGGAGTCTTCAGATCAAGCCCGCCATCAGGCTCTGTGCAGGGAGCCTGCTTCTCCCTCTGCCTGTGTCTCTACCTCTCTCTCTCTCTGTCTCTACCACAGATCCTTTGGCTTTTCATGGGCCACTCAGGACTGAGGTGATGTCTCTACACCAATTCGTCTGACATCACTGTCACATCCAGAGGAGTGAAGGGTCCCCGTGTACAAGCGGTCTCTTCTGAGCAGGATGCTGAGACCTTCCTCCAATATGATGACCCTGGTTGCAGCCCTCTCCTTCTCTGAATTTCCTGAAATAATGAAGACCCAGGGAGCGAGATTTTCCAAGTTGTGGGTGGAAGCTCTCGTGTGCTTTAATGGAAAGGTTACACACTGAATATCGTTGTCATTTTTCACTGTTTTCACCTGTTTTAAACTTTAGTTCTCCCAACCCTGTGAGCAGGGACTCCCTCCTAGGGTCTGTCTTCCCCGCACATGGACACAGGTCTGCAGGAGCCCTGCCATGTGAGGTTGTGTGTGTGCCACTGACCTCAGAGCACAAGGGGCAGACGTGCCAGAGTCTGGCAGGAAGATGTGACAGCTGGAGAACTTCTGCCAAGAATCCAGAGGAAGAGATTGTGTATTGGTCACCCCCTAGACCAACTGTGCACATAAATTGGATGAATGTTCTTTTTAAGAAAATCTTCTCAATGTGCATTGACTAAGACTCAGTGATGATGTCACTGTGAAGACGCAGGTGGAATTATGATTATATTGTTCACAGATCTGTACAGACTGCATGGAGAATAACGATGGAAGTGGCATTTAAAACCTCAGTGCAGTTGCACATGGTGGCTCAGTGATGGAGCATCTGCCTTTGGTTCAGGTCATGATTCCAGGGTCCTGGGAACGAGACCTGCATCAGGCTCCCTGGAGGGACCCTGCTTCACCCTCTGGCTGTGTCTCTGCCTCTCTCTCTCTATGTGTCTAATGGATAAATAAATAAAACGTTTTAAAAAAAGGAATAACTTTGGCTTTCATTTAAATAGACATTTATAAACATTTTATAAAATCATTTGTCTCTTAACCTTATGATTATATCATCGGTCTGATCATGCAGTCAGGTGCCAATGAGTCCCCATGAGGACCCTGTTGTATGAATTTCGCAGCCATCTGAGTGCCCTGCATTGGCCAAGTTGTCCTTGAAGCTTGAGAAGCAGCTGGGGACCCCGGGGCCCTGGTGAGTCTCAGTAGACCGTCAGCAAGTCCTCAGGAGGCCTCCTGGCTGCTGGAACCTGCGTATGGCCACCGCTGCAGCCGCTGCTCCAGGCGCAGGTGAGTCTGGCTGTTGTTCCCAGGGATGCAGAGAGGGAGGGCGGCTGGGTCAGCACAGGCTGGGACAGGGAACTTGCAGACACATTCACGGGTGATGGATCAGGGGCCAGACTGAATTTCCTCAAACCTCTAAGCTAGACCAGCTGATGTTAGGCTGACAGTGGCTCTGTGTCCCTGAGGTCAGTCCTGACCTATGCACTGACAGAGGAGAATGAACATTAAAGATCCTAGGCCAGGGTGACACAGTCCCTGGTCCCCTCCATGGGCTGTGCTGTGCTGGGCCTCCTCTTCTCCTCCCCCCTCTGCCACAGGAGGGGCTGTCCATGTAATCGGCTCCATCCACTGACTGCCCAGCTCCTCCCTGGGCCCTGATCCTGGAGCTCTGCTTACACCACACACTGAGGACAATGGAGGTGGCTTCACCCCTGGGGAGAGCCCTGGGGGGAGGCATCTGCTGAGACCACACTCAGGTCCCCAGGGGAGACTGCCAGGCCAGAGGGGACACAGATGCTGAGTCCCCATCAGGGAGCTCAGAACCCAGTTCTCAGGCCCAGGCACCCTGAGAAGGGTCCTCACTGAGCAGCCCTGTAGGGACCACAGGGCAGTCCCTCAGCGCCCCCTCCTGGTCACAGGGCACACACCTCGGCAAGGCCCATGGCTGGACCCAGGAGCAGCTCGGAGGGGCTCAGGTCGAGGCTCCGTGGAGGGGGCTGTGTAGCCGGGAGCGCGATTCCAACAGCGCAGGCCCAGGAGCCCAGGGTGCCGGGGACCCAGCCCAGGATCCGGCCTCCCCCCGGGACAGGTGGGGGCGGGAGGGCCCAGGCAGGACAGCGAGGACACCTGCCGCCATGGGCCCCGAGCTGAGCAGGTCAGCAGCCCCGCCCGGGAGCATCCAGGCCCCTGTGGACTGGGAGCTGCAGTAGTTACTGTGGGAGCTGACTCCAGGGTTGGGGAGCTGGCTGCTGCCACTGCTGTTGTTCCTTGTGTCACATTGTGCCACGGACAGAGCAGGGCTGCCAGGGAAGAAGGACCTCACAGGATAAACAGGTCCCACTGAGACATGACCTGGCAGGGGGCAGGACAGCTCCCCAAGTGCACACACCTGAGAGTCAGCACAACAGGCCCCTCCCCTAGAACCAGCTGGAAGGACAGGGGAAGAGCAAGTTCTTCTTCTTCTTTTTTTTTTTTTTTGTTAAATGATCCTTTATTAAAATATTTTCCTTTGTAGTCAACTCGCTGGGCATTCCACTGCATAACTATTGATGTCATCTATGATGTCATGAGGGTTACGGCCACCCACATTCCAGCCCACAGACTGGGCAGTCCCCAGGATCTCTTTAATGGTTCCAGAGAGTTCTCTGGCTAGAGAGTATCTTCGAATACTTGTTAAATATACATCTAGAAACAATAAGAATTGTTTCTGATTTAGAAATATAACATGGGGAATTATAGTTTTATCAAGCTCCACATGATGAAAATATTAATTTGGTCCTCATCATCAAATTAGTGAATAAAATGAGATGTACCAAGGCTCTATGTTTAATAGACCATATTGAAAACTGTCGATTTGGGATCCCTGGGTGGCGCAGTGGCTTAGCGCCTGCCTTTGGCCCAGGGCGCGATCCTGGAGTCTCAGGATCGAATCCCACGTCGGGCTCCCCGTGCATGGAGCCTCCCTCTGCCTATGTCTCTGCCTCTGTGTGTGTGTGTGTGTGTGTGTGTGATGACTATCATAAATAAATAAAAATTTTGAAAAAAAAAAAGAAAACTGTCGATTAAAACAAAAGAAAACCATCGACTGAGGCTCAGTATTTGTTTATGTATAATGGAAAGGAAGCCCCACTCCTCAACATTTTAGACAGACAGGGAGCAAGAAAGCACAGTCTTGGAACGTCACATTGGAGAGATGGACACACCCTTGGAGAGATAAATGGGGTTCATTGCCATGAACCACTGAACAGGAGAATGGGGCCAGGGAGCTTCACTTCCCATGGTGGTGTTGACTCTTTCGCATCTCACTTTCTCTCCTGCCTTTAAAGCTGAGCTTTTCTGAGCCCATGAGGAGGTTTTGGCTGCGCCTCCCCATAGATGTACATAACTGTGTAAATGTACTACCCATATACAGTGAACAATAATAGTTAGACTCATCCTCAGGCTGGGCTCCTGTGATGGTGAGGGCGGCTTTCTTCCCAGAGATGGATCCAGAGAAGCAATCAGGGACCCCAGAGGGGTGGCTGCTAATGCTGTAGATAAGCATGCGAGGAGCCCGGCCTTGGTTCTGCTGGTACCAGCTGGGGTAGTTACTTGTAGAGACTGACCCAGAGCTGAGGCCACATGTGAGTGTGACTGTCCCTCCTGGAGACACTGAGAGTGATGGCTCCTGGGTGACCACAGTCTGAGAATCTGCTCCTAAAATCAAGAGGAGAGAAAGGTGTTCATATGGGAGACAAGGGTCGCATGAGTCCCTGTTTTAAGTGCTCCCCACAGATGTAAAGTCTTTTCCCTGACATGAGCCATAGGTAAAGAGCCCAAGAAGAAACACTGTCCAGGCCATGGTGGGGACCCTCACCAGACTACAGCCTCCTTAGACTCCTGGGATGGAATGGGGTGTCCCTGGACCTTTTCATGTATCCTGTCCCATGAGGTTAAGAAAACACTTCATGCAAATCAGCTTCCTCTCTCTCCCTGCCTGAGAGTCACCAGCATGTCCCCTAGGAGACTTTTAAATGAGCAGAAACTGGGACTTCACACACACACAAGTAACTGCAGGGTGACCTGAGACACTGGGTGTCAGGAGGACAACTTTCAGCAAATGACCGCCATACTGTCTCTAGTGACCTCTGTCCCAAGGTTCTTCTCTGGAAAGCCTGAAAGCTGAATGAGGAGATGGATGTGTTCTCACCTCCTGGCCCCACATCCACCTCACCTCAAAGCTAACCCATCCCTGCAACATTTTCTTCCCTCCCCAGTGACATTCCCTCTCCTGT